CCACTGCTCCTGGAGGCATATTTGGAAGCACTTCCACTACTGCACCTTCAAGCCAGCCTGTGACGACGGCACCCTCCACTGGCAGCATTTTCGGCCAGAATAGCGCTACTAGCACTGCTCCATCTACAAGTCTGTTCGGCCAGTCTACATCAGACAAGCCTTCTCCCTTTGGCCAATCCACAGCGTTCGGTAGCGATTCGATGCAGACATCTCCTGACCCAAAGGCCAATGCTGCCGTATCGAAGCCAGCCATCTTTGGAGGAAACGCTTCTCAGCCTGCATTTGGCGCATCCACAGGCTTCGGAAACCCAGCAGGAGGTTCCGTTTTTGGGGGTGCTACTCCGGCGGCGCAACAAACTCCGTCTAAACCACCCTTTGGAACAAAGCCGACAGAGCAGGCTACTCCAACCTCGACGCCTCTCTTCGGTGCTACTTCCCAGCAACCCACAGCAGCCGCTACGGCACCTACGCCCGCATTGACCGCTGCTACGCCCACAACGACACCCACGACGCTTTTTGGTACTGCATCGCCGGCCAAGCCTGCAACGCCGTTCCAGAATCCTTTCCAGTCTTCAAACCTTTTCTCAGGCGCACCCTCTCCATCAGCCACGCCAAAGCCTGCTGAAGAGAAAGGACATGAAGAGAAGATAGGCGAGGCAGCCCCACCCAAGACCGGCTTCCAATTCTCCTCCTCCACAACCGGTGGCAATCTCTTCTCCATGAGCGAAAGCGCTGCTACTGCGCCTTTAACTACTTCAACTGGTCTGTTCCAGGCACCGGCCACGGGCAGCCTGTTTGCGCCCAAGCCTGCCTCTGCAGAGACTGATAAGCCCAAGACTCCCGAGGCAAATCCTTTCAGCAGCCTTTTCGCTCCTAAACCATCAACTACCACCCAACCCACGCCGGAACAAAAACCACCTGCTGCTACCCCGTTTGGCTCTCTCTTTTCTCCCAAGCCTAGCACACTCAACGAAGGAGCGAAAGTGGGAGAGCCAGCGAAACCGGTCTCATCTACGGCTGTTTCGTCTGCAGCTCCGCCATCACCCAGCCTCTTCGCCCCGCAGCCTTCATCTCTCTCGACCACCGCTGCAGAGAGTAAAATCCAGACACCTGCGTCCGCAACTACTGCGTCTCAAGGCGGTTTCAAAGCCAATGGTGCAGCACCCGCCGAGCCAAAACCTTCAGTCAAGCCTCCCGCAGTCCAATTCGCCGAGAGCTTGCGGCCGAGCAAATTGCCTTCTGGGCTGAGCGAACAACAGAAGCAAGATTTTGATCTTGTCTACAGTCTGCGCATGTTGAATGAATGCTTTCAACGCGAGATCGCTCGCCTGAATCCTTCAACGGACGACTTCGACGCTACCGTGCTCTTTTACATGCGCGTTCGTGAAGTGATTGGTGCACCAACCGTACCGCTCTCATATAAGCGGAAGGCTGCCGAAGATGAGAGTGCTGATCGTGAGATACAATCAGCGAAGAAAGTTAAGCCCTCCGGCGCCACTGGTGTACCAGCGACCCCCAGCACCAACATCTCGTCACCTTCCCAGAAGATGAACATCGGGCCAAGCTCCATTACGACAACACCGTCTAAGCTTTTTGATACGAACCAGATCAACCCAACAACCAATGGAAAAATGGCTGAGGAAAAGGCTGAAACTGGTGCTTCTCGGGCTGAGAATCGTTCCGATAGTGACTCTGCCACCGCGAGCATCTTCGCTCAGTCTTTCTCGAAATCGAAAGCTGATGGTTCAGAGGCCACAAGTGCAGTGTCTCCCAAGCCAGCTACCCCAGAAACCAATAAGCCTGCTCTATTCTCTACCACCCCGTCTGCGTCTCCGTCGAAGCCCATATTTTCTTCGTCCTCTACTGCCAAGGAAAATGCAACTTCCAGCTTCATCTTCTCTCAACCTACCTCAAACTCTGGGCTCACGTCATCCACAACCAGCGTCAGCACGCCTGCCCAGAATCTGTTCGTCCCGAAGCCCACAGGTGACGGGAGAACCGAGGCACCGGCCGTTCCCAAATTCGGTGCCGGCACTGCGACGAACTTTTTCGCTCAGTTCAAATCCATTGCCGATAAAAATGCTGAGAAGGAAAAGGAGAAGCGCAAAGCAGAGGATTTCGACTCTGAGGAAGAAGACGAAGCTGAGTGGGAACGGAAAGATGCCGAACAGCAGCGCAAGAAACGCGAGGAGTTGGAGGCTCAGACTAAAAAGCGCGCCAAATTTGTTCCAGGCAAGGGATTTGTCTTCGAGGATGAGAGCAGCGATACTACGGAACCCAAGAAAGCAGCAGAGACATCTACTTCGACTGCCAGTTCATCCGTCTTTGAAGCAAAGCGGGACACTCCGGTCAAAGCGAACAATATATTTGGTCATCTCTCTGCGACCCCATCAGAGGTAGAAGAGGATAATGATGCTGACGATACAGAAGAGGCGTCAGCTGCCGGGGAAGATGCTGATGAAGAGTCCAAAGAGTCCTCTCTGGTACCGGCCAGCGACCGCGACGATGGTCGGGATGCGGAAATCAGCGAAGCAGACTCCAAAGCCGTTTCGGTCAGCGGAGCCGAGTTCTCTGCCAATGACAGCAGCGACGACGGCGATTTTTCTAAAGCTCTGACCAAGTCAAAACAAGCCTCGAGTGGTGGTAAAAGTTTATTTGATCGGGTTCAGTACGGTCAAGATGGAAAGCCTAAGAGGCAAACCGACGAGGAAGCAAAGAATCCCTTCTCTTCACTCTTTAGCCCTTCGTCCAAGTTCTCCTCTTCCATGACGAGTCCCGGAACGTCCACCCCGAATCCATTTGGCTCACCCAGTACCCCTGCGCCAGGCCAAGGTGATTCTGCCGAAAGTAAGCCAGCATCTAGTATCTTCAAGTCTTCGGTTGCCACGAGCGGTGGCCTTTTTACTTCCGCACCGGCAAGTACTGGAACGAGTACGCCGTCCGTCTTCGGTCAGAGCTCGTCGAAACCAGCAGGTGACAAGACCTGGAAGCCAGATTCTCCCATCAAATTCGCCGACTCGACTGCTACGGCACCTTCGACCACGTCGAAGCCAGATTCTGGGTCCACCGCTCAATCAACCGACTCCTCAAAGCCATTCTCTACTCTCTTCGGCGCGCCAGCCGCTGGGGCGAAGGCGTCTGGCAGTGGACAGTCGGCGCTAGGGTTCTCCTTTGGTGGTCCGTCACAGCAGGGCTCTTCCTTCCTGGCTCCTTCCACCGTCACTTCCGCTACTGGCAGTCGCGCGTCGACCCCCGGACTGACCTCCGATACTGGCGCGGAGGAGTCTGTAGATGGAGAGGCTGCCGAATCTCTACCCCAGGTTGATCTTGCTCGCAGCAGAGCCGGCGAAGAGGACGAAGACATTGTGATAGAGACGAGGGCGCGTGCATTGAAGATCAAGCCCGGCGCAGGCTGGGAAAGCCAGGGTGTTGGTTATCTCCGTGTTCTGAAAAATCGCAACACTTCTCGCTCTCGCATCATCCTGAGAGCCGACCCAAGTGGCAAGGTTGTCCTGAACGCAGCCTTGTTGAAGGATATTAAGTACACCATTAACGCAAACAGTGTGCAGTTCCTGGTTCCCCAGGCTGAAGGCGCCCCGGAACAATGGGCTGTTAGAGTGAAAGGGAAGGAAGAAGCTGAGCGTTTGCATTCCGCAATTGAAGAGTCCAAGGCGTAAGCACAAGCTGTGTTTACATATCACGAATCGGCGTTGTACATTTGGTCTGACTCGAACACATTCGCGGCTTTTTCTTACGACAGTTTATATCGATTCCGTCCGGCCATAACCGTGATTCCCATGGTTTATGCAGCGGGCCCTGAAAGCTGATGCTTGTATTTTTCTTTCCGCCAAGGAATCATGGTTGCCATGCGATTTCTTTGATCGGACTAAACTTTGTTATCTGCCATTGTCATGTCAATTTTGTCATTTCTACATGGCACCGTACTTTGTCCATTCTTCCTCGTGCCTTTTTGAACCATGAGCACTCGAAGTTGGCGTCATTTTGTTGAACCGTTTTTGCATTCCAAATTCTTCCTGCCGTCCATTCCCCCAACATTCAGATCATGGCCTTGTGTGTAACTATTTCGCATTTCAATTACACTACGTCATCAGCATCATGTTATTATCTATGGAACAAGACAGGCGCCTTAGCATAGCGTGTGGGTTCGAACCATTGCAATGCATTCTCCATCTAACATTTCATTCATACCTTATCCTTATTCATTGGATTCCCTGGCGCTGTTTCTTTGGCATAGCGCACGTTTATTGGCGTTTCATCCTCAACCGCCTCACCCTTTCTGCAGAGGCTCTTCCCGCCTCTGTCGCCGAGTTCCTGATCCTTCAACTGGATGGGCTCGCCGCCGCGCTCTCCGACACCAGCCCCTGGAAGAGAAGTACAAGGCGAATCCCCAATCAGGGGGATGTTCTCGCGGGGATCAATGTATAGACTCTTCATACTGACGGACTATTGAGGTGTGGGTGAAATAATAATTGATGGAGAGTCTGAATCTCAGACAAGTCATCTCGAGGATAGAGCCTCCTATACATGCCGTCATCCCAACCGCACATCTCAACAATCAGGAATCAGTATCATTCTCGAGGACAACTGTCTCTCTTTCCTCACTGCTCTGAGCCAAGAATACCATAAGGGAATCCCTTTAGAGGCAGCCATAGTTGAATAATATCATTCCCAAGGATCGACTTAATCAGTCAATCTACCCAATACCTACTTATCCTTGGGTAGATAGCTTCGATATCCCTAAATAAGTGATCAAAGAAGTCTTACCTTGGTTTCTACATGCGTCACTCTTCTCAACTTCCTCTCCTTTTTCCCACCCTTCATCTTCTCCCCTCCTTTAAAGATCTTACCGGTCATCAAACACCTGTGGACCTCATGTAAGGTTGACCGATCTATCACTATTCTGAGCTCTGGCCAGCCCTCGGTATAACATTAAATCACTCCAGAATCCCAAAAGACGTGGTCTTCGAAGCAAAGCCAAAATGGAAGAACAGAGCCAGCATAGCACTCCCTTTACTGAGTTCATTTACCATCCAGCACGCGGATTCCAAACTTGGCAAGAGCTTTGCACACACATCCGAAGAGAGGTTCTTCAAGCACAATCCTCAACTGAAATTGACTACATTTCGGTTTCCCCCGACTGGGGCCCAGTGATTGTTGACTCGCTAGACGAGGACGGGGACGTCGAACGCTTAAACGCCGCGTAAGTAAACAATACCAATCATCTCTATATTCTTTGCTGATCGTACTCAAGCTCAGCTACAACTCTGTTACAGAAACCTTGCTAATCAAAGTCACGTCTACCTGTCTCCTTGGATGTCATTATAACTGGTGCTTATCCAGCAACACGACTGGCTCAGACAGAATCTTGTCATGGATGATCACCTCAGTCTTCTCCAAGTATGGACAAACACTAGTCAGTCTTCGGCTATGGATTGTATGGAATATGATGTTGCTAACTCTCGATAGCCCATGGGCGATTCAAAGCCCCGTACTCGGGTTCGAGGAAGACACCCAACTTCTGTATGTGCCCAGACAATCGATACCACCCCTCATTCGTAATCGAATGCGGAGATTCTGAGTCCTAGGAGCAGCTCATGGAAGACATGAGACTATGGCTTATCAGTGCCCATCCATATGTGAATGTCGTTGTGATAATCATGTATGCTCGCAAAGGCAACACCAGTCAAGTGGAAGGCAAAGCTGAACTCTACGTTCGAGACGCAGATGGCAACCCAGCCCTCCAGTACGAAGCAGTGGGTTGTCCGCCCTTACTATCGCTTACCAGGGCTCACCAGAATAGTAGACCATCTTTCCCGCGACTCAGTCCGAGTGCTCACTTGGCATCAGTGCCGGAGATCTCTTCGGCCCAGTTCTCCCCCAAGGTCTGCAAGCCAACACAGTTCTCCCCTTGAGCATCGATAATCTTCGAAGTCAGGCTCATGATGCAATGGTGCACATGGACATGGTGCCTGCAACTTAGCACAGTAATATGCTGGCTTAGATTCAGAAAGAACTGGATGATCATTGAGCATTAAGGTTCTACAGAGATTTTGCTGTTTCGCTGGCATTACCAGATCACTATCTCACGAATATCAAATGGGTGCCAATACAACGACATCCCTTACCCGATCAGGCAAAGCCCAATTAATAGGAGCGAACTACTCACGATACGATTCTTTCAAAGCAAGAGGGGATAAGGAATTGAATTAAAGGATCTCATGATAGTCACGTCGACTATAGTTCCTCTGTAGTCACGCATCAATCGATACAATGCTACCTGATAGGTCCCACATGATGATATTTCACTCCGTACTCCCGAGCCTGAAAGAGAAGCACCGATGATCGAAGCTACAGCGGAAGAAAGAAATTTTCATTTCCATGAAATCTTTTTTTATTGTTCCAAGTCAACCGTAACACAAGACCCGAGCAGGAAGCGATCCATTTATTCGTCAACAACAGCGGTGTGCAGACCCTTGGCGTCCTTGACGTTGACGGCCTGGACGTAGGAGTAGAGTCTCTCCTTGGCGCCCTCCTCGTCGTTACGCTTGCGGGAGATGCGGACACGGAGGCGGAAAGGAACGCCCTTGACACCGGCTTCCCAGACCTTCTTGTTCAGCTGGGGGTCGAGGCGGACATCCTTGGTGCCCTGATTGGCGGAACGCGAGTGGTTAGCTGAGCTGGAACCCATCCCATCACTTCATGGGGGGAGAAACCTACCATAGCCCGCTCAGCGAAGGCGCGGATCTCCTTGATGGCACGAGGAGCGCGCTTCTTGAAAGTAACACCGTGCATCTATAGATCGAGCAAAAAAAGGAGAAATTAGTCTTCCGCCCAAATGCCATCTGGTAGAGTGAATCTGCGAAGATGCTATTTGCGGCCATAGAGGTGGACTTCATCAAACTATTTCTTCTTTTTTTGTGGTCGTGTATTGTATATTCCTCCTCTTTCCTTTGGGTTTCGGATTCTGATCCCCGAAGATATATCTCGCACAAGCCCTTCTGCAGCGGATTCCTCCTCACACACAAGGTTGTTTCGAGATGTTCCCATATGTTGTTCTCCGTCCATGCCTCAGGGTTTTTGGTTCCGCAAGGTCGCAAGTCGGTCGATTCATTGACCACGAAATTGTGTGCAAAAGGAAATCAAAAGCAAAGGTCCAGCGTCTTCAACGTACTCTCTTGTGCATGTTGATGGTGTACTCGCGGGTGACAACGTCGGCGATGGCCGAACGAGTCTTCTTGCCGGTGGTCTGGACGGTGCTGGACATTTCTGGAACAGGAAGAAAAGAAATGTCAGTAATCTTCAGTCCTGGGGGAAAAGAACTGCGCGACACAAGAAATATGGAATTGATACTGACTGAATGGGCTGACAGAGAACGTCGGCTGTCGTTGGCGATGTGGTCGACTGTCGAAGGAATTGGGATTTTCGGATGTCGTTTTTTTGGTGGTCGAAATTCAGTGTGGCTCGCTTATCGTCTGGCAACACTCTGATTGGGTGGTTGCTGTCACGTGATGCTACACCATCCGCCGCTAATCCAAACTGCCTAGAGGCTACATCTACATGCTAATCCTTGTTTATAGTTGTTGTACTTGGAATAGGCAGTATTTGTTGGAATTGACGTCTATTTGTCAAAACTCAGTTTCTCTTGCCAGAACGCGACACTAATTGTATCCTCTAAGCGTGTCATTTCTCGGCGCTCACATCAGGGTATAGGTCAAAACGTCGCTGGGTATAGACGGGGATGCCCTTTCGAGTGTTCTGAATAGACTCGTTGTCCAAGTCTGCGTAGATAATCGTCTCTGTCTCGGCTGCTTCTGCCAGAATCTCGGCGTTAGGATTGACGATCACACTGTGACCCCAAGCGTGGTATGTTGCGTTCGTATCACGAGCCGGGCTGCACAAGCCAACATAGATCTGGTTGTCAACCGCACGAGCGCGACCAAGGAGTGCCCAGTGAAGAGGGCCAGTAGTCATATTGAAGGCACCGGGGTAAATCAGCGCGAAAGCTCCCTTGCGCGCTGCGATCATTGCCGACTCCGGGAAGCGGATATCGTAGCAGATGGCGAGGCCAATCTTGCCATATTCTGGTAGATCGACGAGGGTCAACTGGTTTCCAGGCGAGAGTACTTCGCTTTCCTTGAACGTAATCTTCCCGGGGATGTCGATATCGAATAGGTGCGTCTTGCGGTGTGTGCCAATGAGAGAGCCTGTAGGCGAGAACACAAGGGAAGTGTTGTAATACTTCTTTGTCGAGGTGTCCAGCTCGGGTATACTGCCTCCTACCAGGTATGCCTGGGCTTCCGCAGCGATGGCCGACAGAGCATGATATGAGGGGGATTGTTCTTTTGTGGGAGGCGACGGGAGTAGTGTCTCGGCATATGAAGGGAAATATTGTGTTCCATACGGCGAATTAAAGCATTCAGGGAGAACGATGAGCTTCGCGCCTGCTTTTGCGGCCTCAAGGACCTTGGTCCTTGCGTGAGAGAGATTAACGGCTTTGTCCGCACCTATGACCGAGTACAATGTTAGTTAGTACGGGCTGAAGACATCATGGATGCTTGGGACATCATAGCGCACCTGAAGCCAGCTGCACTAAGGCTAGCTTAAGAGGTTGTTTCAATAGGGCAGCCATGACTAACAAATGCAACGATAGTTGGGAAGTTGAGGTTATCGGTGGTTGCACCGATTGCGGGGAACTTCATAATAAATGGGGTCGAAGTGGTGGCCGACTCGCCTTGCTTTATCAGCGTCGCTTTCGAGGTCTTCAAGACTCAAGGCTTTCTCTAATAAACGACAGCTACATTATTGTATTTCCTACAATTATTATGGCCATTTCTGGCAAGATGAAAAGCTTCAATTTGGTACCGTTGGCTTTCAATTGTGGCCGATGACACTCTTGCATACTGTTCCCTCGCAAGCTGCCCATCGGTTGCTGTCGGGGGAGCAGAGTCTGTATGCGGACGTCGGCGATTCATGTTCGTTCCTGTGCAGAGGCATGATAAAATGCCGCCTACAATTCGACTCAACGGAGTTGCTTCCTTTCGAGAGATTTGGGTGCTCTGTTTATGTTGATAAAAGTTGGACGATCTTTTTTTTCCGAAGACTGTGTTACATGTTCAGTCCGGCCTTTCGAATCCCTGCAATATGAGACACGGCACAATCATTCTATGACAAAATACTACAAGGATGACACCTGTTTGCATAGTTCCGCCGTTTGTCTATGAGAGTGAGACCTTCTCTGACTGTGAAAAGCAATGGCTCGGTTACATACGGCAATTAGGGTCAGGCCTAGAAACGAAGCCCATGAAGTTCTTCATGCCAAATCCAAACCATTCGACAGTTCGACTTGCCCAGAACCAGGATAGCCGCAGGGGGACTGACAGTAGCCATCTCGACAAAAAGAAATGATTTTTTTTCCGCGGTGAAATCGTGAAACAGGTTCTACAGCCGGTTACCTGTTCTCGCTGTGATATCAGACCCGATCCAGTTTAATGATAGTGATCGACCGTGGCAAAATGGGTTCTTTCTCTGGAGAAGGGTGTTATCACTCTTCAATAATATGAGCGGGCGCAATTCCTCCATCTCGTGTATGGAAAGCCAATGTCGTAGTTGGCCCTGACGGCTTTATCATAGATATCCCATCAATCGATCTTCAGCCTGCAAGTCAGACGAGGAGTCTGTTCCTCCTGAATTCTTCAGGACATCAAATGAATTGGACACTCATGCAGTTGATCCTAACTACTGGTTGAGCGAAGCCGTTGAGGATCACATATGGCATACGTAGGTCTCCCTGAGCCTTGCAGATATGTCTCTAGATCGCATAAATATCGATCTCCGGGCTTTAATTAGTCCTCCAAAATGGACTCATCACAGATGAGGAATCACTTCAATATATTGAATCGTGCGCAACGTCTATCGCCATAGTGTAACTTGCGTGTCGGTATCAGTTCCGAAGTATCGAACCTAACAAGAAACGACTACTCAAAATAGAAAGGCGGAGCATCGTCAGGCCCATCGTAGTCTCATTCATCTTCCGTCAAACCTGTAGGGCCACTTTATGAAGAGACCGACTACGGGATAATAACTTGAGAAAGAGTGGCGAATAGGACGCTAGCTGAGTCAGCGAGTCTGGGCCCCTGAGACATGAAGTGCACGGAGAACTCTCTGGCTTTTCCTGTGCCGATTCCAATTTAGATACAAAGTGTTCATAAATAAAATATGGAGAAAAAGGGGCAAAGGAGACTCCCTTATCATCTCTTGTGTGTCTTCTTCTCAATTCTTTTCTTCTGGTTCTTAATTACTGAGCCATGGATAGCCGGAGGGTGCCTTTCTTCTGCCCACCAACCATCAGCCTGTGATCCTCCTTCCGCCGGTGAGACACCGTCACAGCCGCCCACTGATTCCCCACTGCCTTCACCTCTTCCGTTCATTTTGCCCCAGGGTTCGGACGTTTCTGTGGCTTAAGGCGGCCTTAAAGCAGCCTTAAACGCCCCAGTACCACTCTTTTCACCTTTTCACCTTTCTCATTTTTTCCCCCTGTCTAGCGTGGTTTTTCTTTTTCCCGCAGCGCAGCGGTACGGGAGAAGTCCGAAGTGGCCAATCTTGGTAGTCCCTCGCTTTATAAGTTGTCCCGAGACGCGCTGCCGCCTGATACTTCAATCCCGGTGATACTCAGCACTCATCGCCATCAGACGATCTAGGCATATATAAAGTCAACAGGCCATTACAACGCCCGTTACAGCCGGTTCGAAGGTTGAGCACGACGTCATGTTCGAGGACTTTTCCTTCTCTTCACCGTCGTCCACCAGACCTCCTCGGCTGGCATTCGACGGGGACGATCGACTCATGATTGATTGTGATGGTTCTATGATCTCACCATTGTCCTCTCGGTGCCCCTCACCGAGATCGACGTCGTCGCATAAATTTCCCCGGAGTTTGCATCGTTCGCGATCATCACACTTCCGCTCCCCTCAGCCGCCTACCTCTGTTCCGTTCTCCGCTTACGACGGCAAGAGACTTTCCATTAGCACATTGACAAGAAAGCTCCATGAGCATACCATCCAGAGTCAGTCTCAGGAGGAGAAAGCTGACGACGTGACCACCTCGCCGTCAACGCCCCGGTCTGTGTCGGATATGGGGTCAGCATCTGGGCAATTTCATGGGTATTTCCTGACACCCCCGGACACGGACCATGACGACGAGGGATATTGTGACTCGGCATCTATGGCCTCTCTCTCACCGTCATTGTCACCTCATCAACAATCCCCCTTTCTGGGAGCCATGACCGCCCCGCTGGACTTGACATCGCAGGGTGGGGCTCTCGAAACCCTGTTGAACTGTGGACTCGATACTACGATGAACATCCGGGCACACCGACAACATATCTCCCGCCTGCAATGCAATCCATCGGACATCGAAGCCATTAGACGGGCTCTTATATCCGAAGATGAGCCGCTGGAGGTCGACCCATCCAACGAGGACGATTGTCATCCAAGCTCACTTCCTCCGCAGCTGTCGCCCCGTAGGAGGGCTGTCACGCTCAGCCGGAGCCGCTATCGACCAATAACCGCCACTTCTGGCCTTTCTGATACATCAGGGGTTGAGCATCGGGACCGGCGGAAAAGCACTGCTGGCGTTCCTTCATCTCACCGTATCGAAAAGAGTTACTGCCTGTCATCGAGCCGGGATTACCGCAAGAAAAGCGATCAAGGCTTGAGAAGGAAGAGTCTGGTCAGCGCTGCCTTGGCTTCTGTGGTTGAAAAGGCACCGCAGTCGACTGTTTGATCTACTTCCCCTTGAGAGACTTTCCCTTCTACTGTACATATTGAGATAGATACCCGGCCTGTATATACTTTGTCAGTGCGTATCAATTTGTTCATTTCGCTCTCACGTATGTGTCGCTCTCGTCCTAATCCTCCCGCAACCCAACCAACCGTCGTGACTCCTCCCACAGTCTCTCCGCGCTCTCCTGATCCCAAATATGGGATGCATACCCAGGATCAACTGTGCGAAACCCCGGCTTCGCCAGCTCCGATTCTCTACAATTCTCCAAATACTTTCCGCCTTTACCCTCCCACTCCCTCCCCACAGCAGCCACCACAACCATGGCGGCCCCCTGCTCCTCCGTCTTCAGATACGGCTTCATTCCGGGCTTCCGCCACTCCTCCATCACCCCGTCATCCACAAACTTCTGCAACCCCGTGAAAATAAGTCCCGGATGCACACTAAGCCCGTGCAGCCCTTGCCCCCCAAACCGCCTCTCGATCTCATTCATCATATAGATATTCGCCGTCTTGCTCTGCGCATACGCCAGCGCGGGGTCATACCCGCCCAACTCAAACTGCAGATCCCCGAACCGAATCCCGCTCTTCCGGTGCGCTGACGACGTCACGCCCACCACCCGCGAGTGGAATTGTGGAGTCACAGACCGCAGCAGGATAGGTTTTAGCAGCTCGAACAGCAGGAAATGGCCGAGATGGTTCGTCCCGAACTGTATTTCGAAGCCGTCTTCTGTGCGGCCTTCTGGTGTGGCCATCACGCCGCCGTTGTTGATTAGCACGTTGAGCTTGTCGCTTTGCGAGAGGAATGAGTTCACTGCTTGCCGGTTGCTGGAGAGACTTGCTAGGTCCATGTGGAGGAGGCGGATCTCGCCCTGGGGGGATGAGGGGTTGCTGTTTTCATCAGAGGCAGGGGTAGAGTCAGAGCTAGAGTCAGAGTCAGCCGCAGGGGCGAGGAGGTCGGCCAACACGTGCCGGGCTTTGGGGATGTCGCGGACGGCGAGGAAAAGGGTTGCGTTTGTTTTGGAGAGAGCGCGGGCGGTTGCAGCGCCGAGGCCAGAGGAGCAGCCTGTGATTAGGATGACTTTGTCCGGAAGGGCGTGGGTGAGGTTTTCGGTCTGGATGATGGAGAGGGCCGTCGGGTGGTCTTCCATATTTTGGGGCCAGTACGGTGTTCGCTTCGAGCTGAGGGATGTCTCTGTGAGTGGCCGAGGTTTTCGTCTATAGGGTATATGGTATATTCATGATGGTCAACCCAGGGCTTGGTAACTACGTCAGAATGGCGACGCTTGCATGACCTCCCTCACTTGAGGTGCACCTTGCCCACACCGAACGATGAAGAAAATTAAAGTATATATCAGGCTAATCTATCGCAATGAAACAGAGACCAGCTCCAGGCTGTCATATAGGAACCCACTCACACCGCGGTGTCTCTGACACAGCACACTGTCGACGCTATCATCGAAAAAGCCGGCCCCTCCGCAGGGCACTAGCAAAGCTGCGTAATTTTCTAAGCGGATTGCGCTTCCCGCGCTTCTTCCGATCTGACGAAGACCCCCTGGTCCATTCGCTCCGCTGCATCTCCTCGTACTTCATCGCGAGAATATCGTCCGTGGTGCCCGTCCATCCCGTCCCATCGTAGGAGGCTAGAACTGAATACCCCGGCTCCCCGAGCTCACTTCCGTATGATTGCGCCGTCATCGGCCTGGACTGCGGAGGCGAACTCCACTTGTGAGATTGCGGGATATCGGTCTCATTTCCCTCTAATCGTTCGGAGATGGACGGCATAGGGTGATACGGTATGTCGCCGATGAGGTCGTAGTGGGCTTTTTCTTCGTCGGCGTCGGATATGTAA